TTAAAACTCTCCAGAAAGCAGGAATAGAAGGAACATACCTCAACATAATAAAAGCTATATACGACAAACCCACAGCAAGCATCACCCTCAATGGTGAAAAACTGAAAGCATTTCCCCTGAAATCAGGAACAAGACAAGGGTGCCCACTCTCACCACTACTATTCAACATAGTTTTGGAAGTTTTGGCCACAGCAATCAGAGCAGAAAAAGAAATAAAAGGAATCCAGATAGGAAAAGAAGAAGTGAAACTCTCGCTGTTTGCAGATGACATGATCCTCTACATAGAAAATCCTAAAGACTCTACCAGAAAATTACTAGAGCTAATCAACGAATACAGTAAAGTTGCAGGATATAAAATTAACACACAGAAATCTCTTGCATTCCTATACACTAACAATGAGAAAACAGAAAGAGAAATTAAGGAAACAATACCATTCACCATTGCAACAAAAAGAATAAAATACTTAGGAGTATATCTACCTAAAGAAACAAAAGACCTATACATAGAAAACTATAAAACACTGATGAAAGAAATCAAAGAGGACACAAACAGATGGAGAAATATACCGTGTTCATGGATTGGAAGAATCAATATTGTCAAAATGGCTATACTACCCAAAGTGATCTACAGATTCAATGCAATCCCTATCAAACTACCAACGATATTTTTCACAGAACTAGAACGAATAATTTCACAATTTGTATGGAAATACAAAAAACCTCGAATAGCCAAAGTAATCCTGAGAAAGAAGAATGGAACTGGAGGAATCAATCTGCCTGACTTCAGACTATACTACAAAGCCACAGTCATCAAGACAGTATGGTACTGGCACAAAGACAGAAATATAGATCAGTGGAACAGAATAGAAAGCCCAGAGATAAATCCACGAACCTATGGTCACCTTATCTTTGACAAAGGAGGCAAGGATATACAATGGAAAAAAGACAACCTCTTTAACAAGTGGTGCTGGGAAAACTGGTCAACCACCTGTAAAAGAATGAAACTAGAACACTTTCTAACACCATACGCCTAGGTTCTTTTAAGTTTCAACATCTCCAGAGAATAAACCTCTCATCTTCTGGGGAAGGTGGGTATCCAGCTGGGTTGAGACAAGGACCTGTGTGTCCAACTGGTCCTTTTACAGACTTTCAACTGATTCTGTCTTTCTAACTACTCCTCCAGCCTGACCTGATAACTGTAATCACAGGACCTCCAAGGTTCTGCAAGGCAAAACTGTTTCCTTTTCTGTTACACTCCTCTGTGGGAGCTCAGATTTTCACCTTCCTCTGCTAAGTAAGTCACAGCATCACAACTTTCTGTTCACGTCAGTGGATTAGGGTTACTGACGTCATCGACATTTTATCAAAGATAGAGCTGGAATTTTTTATTTCCTTCGTTTTGGATGGATTTTGTAATAACAGAAGGCAGAACATTCTTTGTTTGCCATCTTAAAATCAGAACCTACAGTCTACATGACTTCACACGTTGCGTGTCAGTCTGAGGCCACTACAGTTTTGGTCTGCTGAGCACTCGCTTCCATTGCCCTTCTTTGAACTCCTTTGGAGAAAGCCTCTCTCCCTCCAGGAGACCCAAGGGGGGCCTTCAGTCCCTGGGCACACACACACCCCTCTACTTGGCTGGAACTCAGTGATCATTCATCACATGGAGTTAAGGAGAGTCGATTCGCATCTTCTTTAAGGCAGGTAGTGAGGCATTTGGCCCAGTGAATTCTCTTTCTGTTGGGTCTGCTAAACTAGGAAGATGACAGTCCCAAGTTGCTGCCGGCCAGTCATCTTACTGATCACATGCTGTCTGGAGAATGACGAACAAAGAAACCTGCAGAGCCGAAAGAGTCCAACTGAGATCATCTGAGTTCCCGGCTGCAGCCGTGCCTGATGCCAGATGCACCTCTGGAAACCATAGTCATATAAACAATTAAGTTGCTTTGATTTTTATATGCTGGCTTGAGTTGGCCTTCCTGCATCTGCAACCGAAGAAGTTCTGGTGAACTCATCATTTAATTGAAGTGTTCCAAATTACTAACAGTTGAATGATACAACACTACTTCTTTGCCAAAAATTAAACAGCCTAACCTCTTTCATTAAAATAAAATTGCAAATTATATACCCATATGTCCCTTTCACCATTTAGGTAAGATACTTTGATTTTATCTGAATAGTCTCATTTTTCAGGGCAGTGTACCTTGCAGAAAGATATATATATATATGTTCTATAGTTTTACAAACCCAATAGCCCCTAACCTGCAGAACAAATTTCATCCAAGGACTTCAAAAAGTCTTGTCATCTCTTTAAACCTTCTCTATCAGGGCTCTTAGTTTTTAATAAACTTCAAGTTGTATGGCTGTCTTGAATAAAAGCTATGTGGAAAAACAAAATAATGTATCTCAAAATATTTGTTTCCTTTGGAAGAAAAGTAGGGCTTAAATGTAAAGAATTATTCAGCCTCAATCTCTGATCTAGAGCCTGGATACCAGGATAATTTCAATGCAAGGGTTTATGGGAAAGAGGGAGACAGTAATAAGATGCTTCCAAGGAAGTAGGTGGGATGCTTAGAAGTCATGTGTCTCTGGATACTCCTCCTGGACTAACCTCTCCAATATCACCTCTGGGGCACTGTGCTCACCAGCCCACAGTCAACGTTTAAGCCTCTGAGTCTAAAGTTCCTATCTGGATCTTTTATCAGTTCCAAGTGCATCTAGAGGCTATGCAGGTAATCCAATAGTATGAGGAGGCTAAACATTATTAATGTATTATAATTAATTCATTTGTACGAAAAATAAATGTCTCTCGCACTGTCTTTTATTGATTTACTTTTTTTCATGAAGCATTTCTATCTCTTATTTCTACTTTCTCCATGGTTTGCTTCATAATGCTATCTTAAATAATGGCTTTTTGGCACAGAAACTCCTTGTATGCAGAGAAATCATGTCTGAGTAAACACAAATAACAATGAAGATAATTAATAGTTCATTCACTGAAACTGAGTATGTGCCAGGCACTGTTCCAAGTGCTTCATAGGTTTTAACTCATTTTGTCTTCACTTCAACCCTACAAGGTGGGTGGGGGAAGGTGGGTCCCCTCATCCTCACTTTGCAGACGAGGGGGAGGCGGCACTGAGGGGGTGAGCAACTGCCCGGAGGAGAGAGCAAACAAGGTGTAAGTATGACTCCAGGTACTCTGTTCCACGGACCTCTGCCCTAAACAACTATTCTGTGCTCCACCAAGAAACATGCCATCGGTTATGGGCTGAACTGTGTTCCTCAAAATGTTATGCTGAGGTCATAAGCCCGTGACCCCATGGACTGTAGCCTGCAGGCTCCTCTGTCCATGGAATTTTTCCAGGCAAGGATACTGGAGTGAGTTGCCATTTCCTTCTCCAGGGGATCTTTCCAACCCAGGGATGGAACCCATGTCTCCTGCGTTTGCAGGCGATTCTTTACCACTGAGCCAACAGGGAAGTCCTGTCCTGGAATAGGGTAGGTCCTATTACAATATGATGGCTGTCCTTACAGGAAGAAAGTCTGGACACAGGGAAGACAGTAATGAGAAGATGCGGGTAGAGGGTGGAGTGATGCAGCCACAAAGCAAGGAATGTGTGGTGCCACCTGAAGCTAGAAGAGGCAAGATGGATCCCCTGAGAGGCCTTTGCAGGAGCAGGGCTCTGCCAGCACCTTGATTTCAGGTTTCTTGCCTCCAAAACAGTGAGGGAAAAAATTTCTGTTGTTTAAAGCCACCCAGTTTATGGTACATTGTTACACACAACACTCCTAGGAGAATAACAGTGTCTCACATATATTGAAACATGCTATCCTATCAACCTGTTATTTTCAATTTTAACACAAATGGCAGAGTGAGTAACATTTAACTTTCCTCTTAATTCTATTTAAAGAAAACCAACAGTGAAGGGGGGGGGCGGTTTCAGGGGGGTAGATTGTGAGAACTGGAAGGCTCTCACTCATCTCAGAGAGGCAGCTCCTCACTAGCTCTAATGGATAACAGTCACCTTGAATGGCAGGCCTAAAGCTGTCACATCTTACAGTTTTCCGGAAAACCCAGAAATCTGGATGTGCACATTAAAGGGGTTAACAGAAAGTCCAATTCGGAACTAGTTAGAATAATACCAGTTAATAACATTATTCATGTTGGACACTGTGCAAGCCAAATGTGGTCCATAGCGATGGACCAAATTGGGCCACAGTGTCTGCTGTGTGTCTGTTCTTTGCTTCCTATGTCTCCTTTCCCTTTCTGGAGGCCTCCATCCACCACACCTAGGAAGCAGGTTCAGGGTTGGCCCTAGAAGTCAGGTGGGAGTCAGCACCTCAGGACGAGGGACCCTTCTTGGGATGTGTGGCAGATGGAGAAGAGTCCTACACATATCTGGTCCAAGGCTGACTGAGTGAAGACTTCTGTATCCATATCTGAGCACTGTTCTAATACCATCCTTCCAATGGTCTCAGCTGGTCTTCTGAAAGCATTTATCTTTAGACTTAGGGCTTTAATGGGGTAAAAGTTTGGGGTAAGCCTAGGACATGACCTTGGTACTTCCCAGGCTCACAGACACTTCATTCATAGTCTTGTCCTTATAACTTAATGAGTTCCCTACATTTCTTATCTCTTCTCTGTATACTTGAAAGAAGTGTAACTGGATGACCACTCAGAGCTCAGAGCTGTCTTTCAGTATTCACCATCCTGTAATCTATGAAAGGTGCCCATAAACCACTTTTGAACAGCAATTCTGTGAAACCACGTCTACAAAATGTGACTTTCATATTGGGCTTGTGAACAGCAGTTCTGTGAAATCACGTTTACAAAATGTGACTTTCACATTGGGCTTACTAAAAACTTCAAAAATATAAATTGTTCTGAGAACATTAACATTACTGCTAGTCTGGTAGATCTATGACTATTCAACAGCCTTAGAATTTTCCAGGTCCTCACTGGCTACAAACATTTCTTCAGTATCTACTAGGGTCCAGACCTGTTTGATATGGTGCAGAAACAAATCATCTTTTCTGGTGAGTGAAAGGAGGTCCTTGGGATGCTGCCAGGACTCTCCGCTGCAACCGACGTACCTAAATCAGGGATGAAATACCTAATTCAGGGATGTAGCTTGGCACATCATGGTGGCAGGGATTATAAAACTGACAAATGTTGTTATGGAAGCTTTGTAGAGCAATGTTAAGATGTGAAATATCACAAAATCTGTCCAAGTCATCTCATTCAATGTTTTAAGGTTTTTATTAGTTTTTCTCTTGAATTAAAAATCTCTCATTCTTCCATGGGGTTTTATATCTATAAAATCTTACTGAAATTCACTAGCTTATTAGCCTCACAACAATCTCAAATGGTCAGTAAAACGGGTTTTAGTCCCACAGGACAGATAAGGGAACTGAACCTGAGAGCAGCTTTGGTTGTCAGTGGGGAAGGTGAACCTTACTACACCCGAATCTGCCTCCAGCCTCCAATTTCAGTTACTGATCTTTCCCAGCAAATAGAAGGCACATGGGCTTGTAGGATTAGGCTGTTTAAATAGTGAGATGATCAGATTTGGGATTGAAACCCAGATCTATCACCGACTAGACCTCTGACCTCAGATTCATTTTTTAAACATTTCTCAAGCCCAAGTTCCTCCATTGTAAAATGGAGTGAAGATCCTAAAAAACACAAAGGGAACATGGCACAGAGCAGTACTCAACAGATTTTAGTTCCCCTCTCTCCCCTTTCTCCTACAGGCTCCCTCAAGTCTAAGCAGACCATTCATCACCTGATTAAACATTTGGATGATCAGTGAAAAACCTAAGTTTTATATATAAAAAAAGTGTAGATATTGACAATACAACAATAAACTGTCACAGGCAAACAAGGCCACAGCAGAAAGTGCTGTCATATAAGTACTATTACAAAGCAGCCAACAGAGTGGTTCTTTTTTTTTTTTAATCCACAATGTTGAATCCTTTTTTAAAGAGGACAGGTCACATCAAAACATCTCATCTTGAATTTATTCTATGCCATCTAATAAACAAGGCCCATTGTTGCCAAACATAGACTATTTAAAACACACCAAAGAGATGAGAAATGTGTTCCACTAACACCAGGTTTGAGACTCCTGAGTGTGGGTACGCTGGCAGCCTTCTCGTCCCACATCAGCCCCCAGGATTACCTGGTGTGTCCGTGTCACAGGAGAACTGAAATTCTAACTCCTTTCATCTCCTATCTGCTGGCTCCCTGGGGTGAGGATGGGGTGGGGGTGCTCAGGGACCAACACCAGCAGGGGATGGACCCGGAGAGGAGGTTGGGGGCTGCAGAAATGGGCAGGAGATGAGCATAAACTCAGAGCAAGGATAGCTGCTCCTGTTAGGAAGCAGGCATGGGTCTGCTACCAGAAAAATGAAGCAACTATCAAATTCAGTGCTAAAAATATTAAAGTGCATAGCATAATTTAGACTACTGCTTCAAATTTCAATGAGATGCTGGAGAATTATGTGCCAGTAAGTATGGTATATGTGACTCTGGCTGTTGGCACAATCCCATAGAACTGGGGTTATGTTATTGCATGTGTGGGTGGTTATTAAATGCTTTATGCTTAAGCTAAAGGTCATATTCCTCCTGCACATAACTTCAGTTATGATTATGAGTTAGACTTGGTCCATGAGCAGACAATGGTCTCCTTCCATTAAATGCAAACTGGGGGGAATTACTGTGTAAGTTGCCAGGCTGTGAGAGAAAAGAGATCACACTAATGAGGGTGAAGTGGTGTAATAGGTTTATAAAACAAATCATGCCAAGCTCAAGAAAGATACCGTCAACTCCCACACATCCAAATTAAAAATGACCCCTCCGTGTGACAGGAAAACTGAAGTGCTGTTTACCATCCTCATCTACTGTGGGGAGGGTCAGGAGAACAAGTGCCTCCTTGCCCTCAATTCAGAGCTCATGAGAGTACCAGTGACCTAGAGCTAAATGTCTCTTATGCAAATATTGGAAACCCAAAAGCTACTGTCATGAGGGTATTTAATATGGGGGGCCCCTGCCAGAGCCCCTGCTCAACTTCCTACTGCTCAGGCTGCCCAAGAAGTCCCTGCTTTGCTTCCAGGACATGAGAGATATGCTTCCATATCCAGAGTCAGAGGTTCTCTACAACAGTGGTCCCCAACATTCACAGCATCAGGGACAGGTTTGGGGGAAGACAATGTTTCCACAGAATGGGGCTGGCGGATGGTTTTGGGGTGATTAAACACATTACATTTATTTCTACTATTATTACACTGTGATATATAATGAAATAATTATACAGCTCACCAAAATGCAGAATCAGTGGGAGCCCTGAGCTTGCTTTCCTGAGCTCAGGCAATAATAGGAGCGGTGGGAAGAAGCTATAAACACAGATGAAGCTTCACTAGCTTGCCCGTGGCTCACCTTCAGCTGTCTGGCCCGGTTCCTAAGAGGCTGCGGACTGGGACCAGTGGCCCACGTGTTGGGGATCCCTGCTCTACAAACAGTGTGATATGTGGTGGCTGCATCAGTACTTATGAGTTAAACAATCTTGGAAGGGTGGACTGAGAAACTTAATGACTATTTATAACTGCTTTTACGGAAAAATGTTTTCTGCATTCCAAACAACAGAATTGGACATGAACTTTGGGACCACAGTTTATTTCTGAGGCTGGGAACTGACTGTGTCTCGCTAATTACACCATGGCCAGTGTTTTCCCAGGACAAGATGGCAGTGTGGAGGTCTGCCAGGGGGACAGGATGAGAATGAACAGTTGCCATGAATATGGACCATGTGTGTCTGTAAGGATGTAAGACAGGAGGATGGGAGAAAAGCCCAGGCACATTCTTAATTTGTTAAACAAATACCGAGCATCGTTAAAGGCTATGCTGAATGCTGTGCAAGACAAAACTACATTAGACATGATGTTTGATTTTCTGGTCCTCATAACCTCCCTGGGAGATAAGACAGATACCACACACACACACTGAAGTGGCAGGGTAAAATATGCTGAAACAGTGATAAAAACAAAATCCTGGTTGAAGTCAGCAGAGAAAGGGAAAGCTCGTGCTTCTAGCTGGAGTGATCAGGGGAAGATTGGTGGAGGAGTCCACAGCTGAGCTCAGCCTTGAAGGTGTGCACAAGATTTCAACAGGCAGAGAAACCAGAAAGGGAGAAGCAGGGGATATTACAGAGAAACACTAACAAAAACAGTCCAAGTCGAGATGTAGAGGCAAGAACAATAATGAGATTTCAGAGAACAGGAAGAAAGCTCATCTGGCTAAAGATGGGGATATTTTAGGAGCTTGACTGAGGGCTCTGAATGCAGGCAAAGGCATGGATTCTATCAGCAGTGAGTGAGGAGCCACTGAAGGGTTTTAAAATTATTGGAGTGGCTCTACATGCAGATCTGTAGGGCAGCGAAAATACAATAGACAACAGAATGAAGACAAAGACCATGAGGAGGTAATTGTAATAGTTGGGATTGGTTAAGATGACACCTCAAAGCTAGGTTTTTGGATAAATAGCTATGTATTTCAGGTTCCAATGATAATTACTAAATATCTCCCTTTAAGAACACAGTCAGAAAAGCCAGACTTAAGAAACTAAAAATATATTTGCTACAATGGAAAACCATTTTAGAAACACTAAGTTTGGCCCATAGTTGGGAATTGATACCTAGACTTGATACAAAATAACGGATGGTCGTGAGGTGCTACTCTCATTTTTAAAGTAATACCTTGAGTTTAAACATTATATTTTCAACAAGCACATGAGATTTAGCGAGTAATCATCTCTCCAATATCTTCCAAGACCAGCGATTCAATATACAAGGGAACTATAAGATATTGTGAGCAATTGAGCCTTGATAAATCATCAAAGGTAGTAAACTTAATCCTTCACATTTTAAATCAGTCTTAAGCTGGTGCTGAGCGATGTGAGCAGACTTACGTGAGTTGACTCGACTTAGCAAACGTCTTCTAAACTTCACGTTTTCAGTGCTGGCTGAGATACGGCATTCATCTTTATCTGAAAACAAATGTAATGGAAGTATGAAACTGAAAGAATTGATAGGTAGCTTACAGAAGCTAATTAGATGACTGTACCTAAAGATCGTTAAGAGTTATATTTAGTTCTATAAAACTGATAATTATGTATAATTTAAGAACCTAAAATAAAAATTTCAAGTTATGCTCAAAGACTTCTAAACTAGGAGGTATAACACATTTCCTTCCTATGTTTTTATGTCAATCTCCTAAAAGTTCTGGAAAATAATATATTTAAGCCTGATTTACACTGGATCATTTAAAATCTAGCCACCAATCAAGCCCTACTCAGTGCTACATCATGGAGAGCAGGGAGAGGTGAAGTTGAGTAAGATAAAGCTCCCATCCTCAGGAAACCCACAAACCACCAGAGACAGACGAACATGAATAACTCCACATCAAGGCAGACACAGTAAATGCTAAAAATGGTACAAAGTGCTACTGGATTTAGGGGGGCGGGGGGTGTTACTTACTACAGGGAAAATATGTGACGGCTTTGTATTATGGACTGAACAGTGTCTTCCAACCCCTTCCCCCTCCAATTAATGTGTTGAAGCCCCAATCCCCTAGAACCTCAGGATGTGACTGAATCTAGAGATAAGGCCCTTTAAAAGGTGACTAAGGTAAAATGAGGCCTTTAGGGTGGGCCCTAATCCAATGTGACTGGTGTCCTATAGGAGGAAGTTAGGAAACACAGAGACACACCAGGAGAAAGGCCACATGAGGACATGGGAGAAAGGCTACATATGGACACGGCAAAATGATGGACACCTGGAAGCCAAGGAGAGAAGACCCAGGGAAATCAAGCCTGCAGACACCTAGATCTCCGATGCCCAGTTTCCAAGACTGAGCAGACAAATTTCTTTTGTTGAAGTCACTGGTCTGTGATATTTTGTATGTAGTCCTGGCAAAGTAACATACTCTGTAATGGTGACACTTAAATTCAGCTTTAAAAGAGATAGGACTTTTAGCAATCAGATAAAGGTAAGGTTTGGAAACAATATTCCAAGAAGAAACAAAAACTACTTTATTTTAGGCACACGGCCACAACACAGTGTGTGAGCTCAGGCAAGTCAATATGTTTCTGTAACAAGAGCATAGTTTGGTGGTGAGGATGAGAAAAGTAGGTGGGGGAGGAAGAGGGAGGAAAGGCAGGAGGGAGAGAGGGAACAGGGGATCCACAGACCAGCAGACAAGGACTGGACTGTGGGCTCGAGGTCCTGTTGTGAAAGGGTTGAATACTACCTTCAGTATATGTGGTTTTATCTTGTACATAAAAAGAGCCATCAAAGGGTTTTCAGTAGAAAACTCATTCAAATTTATATCCTAGAAAGATGGTTCTGCTTTCAGAGTTACTACAAGAAGACTGAAAAGGCAGTGAGACCTGTTTTGTTACTACAACAGTCAGGATAAGAAGAAACCAGCGCAACTGCAATGGAATTAAAAAATCAAAAATACAATAAAAGTGTGCTTGAAAATGAGAACCAGAATAACCACCCCATCAGGTAGGTAGGACTGAGGGCTGGACCAGTTACCGCCATCCAGTCAGACAGTCACAAGTGCAGCATCCTCAGCCTCCACAGACTTTGCCTTTTAATCACAACCATGTGTTGTGTGCATCCCTTTAAGAAAAGGACCACTCCAAAGACTCGTCTGACTTCTAGCATCTCACCCTAGAACTTGAAAGCCCAAATAAAATCAATAAAAACCCTACACTCATTTCCTAAAGCAGGCCCCCTGCCCCATATCTGCGTGGTCACTCTTGCTACAGCAAGTCAATAGGGAAGTCTGCTTACCTCCAAAAAGGTTTATTTATTTGATAAGCGGGCTTTCCACAAAAAACTGATGTCTATCAATGTCAAAGAAGAACAGCCAAAGAAAACACCCTGTCTTGTGTTTTCAGAGCAGAAGGAGGACTAAGAATAACTTAACAGTTACTCATGATCTTAGAAAGAAATTTCAGGAGGGCAATAAAAGAAAACAAAAAAATGGAAGAATTAAAGAAAAAGGAGAAATGGAATTAGCTACCAAATATTATTCTTTTAAGAGGCCTTGCATAGTTTGAAAGTAAACCTGAATCTTCAATAAGAGTTACTATTTTCTTTCTAATGAGAGTAAAAAGAAGGAAAAGGGATTAATAATGAAGCAAAGTCAAGAGAAGGTAGAGTTAGCCATGTTAAGAGGAGAAACTATTCTTTCTTCATGGTTAGAAATGGAAGAAAGGATAGGTGATGGATATAGATAAAAATTATTGTGTGTGAGGGTGTAAAATTGAGGAAGTTAAGGTCAATAGCAAGCCATTTACTGTGATAGAGACAGGAAGGAAGTAGGGAGGGAAGGAGAGGTGGAGAAACAGTACATAAATGAAGACATATCTGAATTTAAGGGCTTTTAAAAGAAAAAAGTTAGAGAAGAGAAAGGGGCTTTCAGCATCTGAGATCTTGAAATGATTCTGACAGAACAGAGCAACTTAAAAGAATAACGAGTTCTGAGTATCAGAAATCCCAAAACATGAATTAGAAGACACAGATATAATCACACGGTGGTGTGGAGAGGACAGTTTCAAGTGTGATGCTGACATGATTGAGGAAGTTAGAGTGATGGGCCTCTTGGAAATCAACCAATAACAAGCCTTAGAAAGGGGAGATGGCAGCATAAGAGTTAGAAAAAAAGGAACTGATGCACAAAGGTGCCACCTCGATCCCTGAATTGACAGTGGAGAGCAAAGAAACACATTACCTTCCCTTTGAAATCTATAGACTTAGAAAAAAATTTTAAAAATTTTTCTTGAAATGGTTGTGGGAAAAAAAAAAATTGTCACTATCTACAAAAGCCAGGTTTAAATTTCTGGGAAGGAAAGGGAAGAAATATGGGGATAAGATCAAAGTTATAGGGACTTCTCTGGTGGTCCAATGGTTAAGAATCCATGCTTCCAATGCGGGGGCTGAGTTCAATCCCTGGTCAGGGAACTAAGATCTCACATGCTGCGTTCCTTTGAAAATGTCAATAAAATTGATGAATGCTTACTAAGAAAGAGAGAGAAAGCTCAAATTAACAGTATCATATTAAACAAAGACATATTGTTAATCTGAGCTTTCTCTAGTTTATCTGAATTTGGTTTGCACTTCTTTTTGTAGCTCTTTGAGATGGAAAATTATACCTTAAGTTGAAAACATATGCATTTAAAGTTATCCAATATTCCCTAGGTATTATTACTTTGTGTCTCACAAGTTTTGATACTGTTCAATATACTTTGATCATGGTTGTATTTCTTTGACCTGTGGATTATTTAAAAGCTTGCTATTTATTTTCCATGCAAATTTAGGGTTTTTTATGTTTCAGTTATATATTTCTAACTTAATTCTACTGTGGAACATATACTATATGTTATCTTTTAAAATCTGTTGAGATTTGCTTTTTGGCTTAGTACATGTCCTATTTTGGTAAAAATTCCTTGCATGCTTGAAAAGAATGTGTTTTCTGCAGTTGTTGGGAATAATATTCTATAAATAGCAATAGGTCAAGTTAATAACCTTGTTTAAATATGCTATCACCTTACACTTTTAACAATCACATTAAAAATCTGCTTGTTACATTAGTGGTTGAAAGAAGGTTGCAAAATTCTCCAACTATGATTTGTCTGTTTCTCCTTCTTGTCCTGTCAATTTTAGCTTTATGTATTTTCAAGTTATGCTGTTAGGAACATATAAATTTCGCACTGTTCTGTCTTCCTACTGAATTGATCATTTATCATTATAGAGCGTCCCATAATTCATCCTTCTGTAAGGACTACTCTGTCTGATATTAACATATAAGATTCCCTTTAGTCAGTATTTGTTATAGTGTACCTTTTATCTTCTTCCATATCCTTTTATGTGAAATATGTCTTACGTCTTAACTATACATTGTCTTTTTAAAAAACCTAGTCCAAAAATTTCTGGTTTTAGTTGGACGAAGCCTATTTACATGTAATTTAATTACACTTAAAGATACTTTCATGTTATAAATTTTCTATTCATTCCTTCTGTTCTTTTTCCTTCATTTATTCTTCTTTTTTTGATACTCAATTTTTTTATTATTTTATTTTACCTTTGGTAAACTTTTTGTTTAAACATCTTTGTAATATTTCTAGCAATTATCTTAGAGATTATAAATACTTCCTTGACTTCAGATGACTTTTACCACTTCCTGGGTGTGAAAAAAAAAGTCAGTTTAACTTCATTTACACCTACTGGCCCTTTGTTCCACTGATTTTAAATATTTTATTTCTACTTATGTTTAAAGCCCCACAAAACATTAATATTGCTGCTTTCAATGGTCTGAAATCTTTTATATTTATTCATAGGCTTCCCTAGGCTCCTCATTTTTCCTGAGGTTCTATGGCTCATCTGGGATCACTTTTCTTCATACTGAATAACCTCCTTTAGTATTATTGCACTATGGGTCTGCTTGTGATAAAATCTCCCACCTTTTGTCTAAAAACATCTTTATTCTGCCTTCATTAAAAAAATACTTCTGCTGGGTACAGAGCTTCAGGTTGGCAGTATTTTTCCTTTCTGCATGTATTTACAGATGCCATTCCTTAATGTTCTGATTTTAATAATGACTGTAGGCCACTCAGCCACCAATCTTACTGCTGTTCCTTTGAAAGCAGTGGGGCTTATTTCTTTTTATTGTTTCAAGATTTTTTCTTTATAGCTGGTTTTCACAAGTCTCACTAAGTTGTACCTAGGTGTGGTTTTCTTCATATTAATCTTGCTTGGGGTTCACTATGTTTCCTGTGCTCCTTGAATTTGTGGATTGCTATCTTTAATCAGTTTGGAAAACCTTTGGTCATTATCTTCTCAAATATTGCTTTTCTCATTCTCTCCTCCGGGGACTCCAACCACATGTATGTCAGATGAAGTGACTTGATCCTATGTCTCCTAAGCTGTTTTGTTCTTTCCATTCTTTTTGCTTTCTGAGACTGTACATTTTCCCACT